AGGCGGGCCTCGGGCTCCAGGCAGAAGCTCTTCAGCGTCTCGGAGAGCACACCGAGACCGAGCTGGCCGGTCCTCCAGCTGCGCGTGGGTGCCAGCGTCTGCTGGGCCTGGAGCTCCGGGGAGAGAGAGTGCGGCTCCGCAGGTGAGAGCACCATCGAAGGCACCTCTGAGACCTGCGAGAGCCTCCTGAAGATGCTGGAGGGTGACCAGGAGGTGCCCGAGGGCATCACGGAGGCATGCGTGGGTGCCCCAGAGACCACTGAAGTCTGCGATGGGGTCTCCTTGGGAGGAGAGGAAAGTGCTGAGGTCTTGGAGACCTTGGGCAGCACCACCAGCAACTTGGCTGAAGACAGTGGCTGCGAGCTTTCCATCTGTGGGGCGGTGACCCACGGCCAAGCACCCTGGCTCCTTGAGCACCCTCATGGCCACTGAAACTCCCTTCTGCCTGACCCTCAGCCCAAGGCAGGGGCTGCCCCTCCCTTGGCAAGGAGGTCCCAGGGCTGTCCCTGGCTCAACACCCAGGGCCAGACACCCCCTGTGACTTCCACCTGCACAGGGAAATCTCCAGAGATGCTCAGGGCAGGGAGGCTGGAGGCCCAGGACTGGGCGAGGCAAGGGGCCCGTGGCCTCAGCTGGTTTTGATCCCAGGACTTGTAGAAAGCCAGAGAAGGCAACAGGGTTCCCAAGGCACCCCCGGCCCCCACCAGCCCAACCTGAAGCTGCTGGATCATGTCCTCCAGTTTCTGGCAGCAGCGAGTACGCAAACCAGCCTTGGAGTCCAGGTCGGGGCTCTGGACCCAGGTCATCATCTCCTTGAACAGGAAGCCTTCCGGGTCCTGAAGGCCCAGCCCATGCAGCAGCTTCTTGAGCTCTGGCCTGGGACAGATGCATGTGGCTGTCCAGAGGCCTTCCCAGTGGCAGGGAGGGCTGGGCCGGAGCGAGACTCACCGGCAGCGCACCGGAGAGTAGAGGAAGTAGGACATGAGCTCCAGCACCACATCCCGGGACTCCAGGGAGCAGGCCAGGAGCAGCTGCAGCGCCAGCATCACGAACTTCTTCTGCGTCTGGTCCTGAGGCAGGCGGAGGGGATGTGGTTGCTGAGGGCGGGTGGGCAGGAAGGAAGACTGGGGGCAGGACAAGGGGCACACCTGGAGGCTGGGGGGCTGGTCCAGGTTGAGCAAGTGTATGAGCAGGCCCTGCAGCTGGCCTTGGAGATCACTGCTTATGTTGGGCAGCAGTCTCAGTAGCACCTGCAGGATGTGCACACGGTCCACCCACGTGGTCTCCTCCAGCACGGCCACCAACAGTGAGGCCAGGCCCTCCACCGTGCCCGCCTCCGGGTATGCCTGCAGGATAGCATGCTGAGGTCCTGCTCCCATGTCACACCCAAGCCAGCCCCTACCTTCTCCCCTGTCCCTCACCCTAACCCATGCTTCTCAGGCATCCTGAATTCCCTCCAACCTGCAGGTTGAAGACGGGGAACAACTCTTTGAACCAGGTCTGGTAGATGAAGAAATGCAGAAACTTGGGCAGATGCGCGTAATGCTCATCCAAAAGCAAACTCCCATGACGGTGCCAGGGATGAGGGTGGGTCCTGGCAGTCTCGCAGGTGCGCCGCCGGGGCTCCCGGGTCCAGTCCACAGCACTCTAGTGGAACAGCAGTGGCTACAGGTCCCACCTGTCTGGGTCTCAGTGTAAGCCCACCTCCCGTGGTGGCCTGGGGCCCCTGCCTGAGCCTCTACCTGCTCCTCCAGTTCCCAGGAATCCAGCTGCTGGCTGGAGTGCGAGCTCAGGGAAGCCGAGGCCCGGTCCAGCTCCTCCTCTACCTCCTCCTTCTCCTCCTCTTCCTTCTGATCTTCCTCCTCCTCCTCTCCAGGCTTATCCCCCAGCCGCTGGAGCAGCTTTCTCTGCCACTGGGCTTGGGATGGCCTGGGGTACTGCAACCACAGGGCATCCTGGCTTGCCCCTGGCTGCAGAGGGGCAAGAGGTGGTGCCTGATGGGTTGCAAGGACAGCAGAGCCCTCCCCTACCAGCAAAGTCCCCAGCCCCGTCCCTTGCCTTGAGCTTTCTCTGGGAGGCGAGCTGAGTCAGGGATCCGAGGCCGCTGACCTCCGCATTTAGCCACATCTGCTGGAGCACCACTGAGTTGGGCACATAGCCGGGGAAGCAGATAGGCCTCAGGCAGTACTGGAGGTGGGCACAGCAGGGAATGCTGAGAACCTGGATTCCCCCAGCCTGGCCACCACCTTGGTCACCTGTATAACCTCTCAGAGCCCCTCAGCCGCCAGTCCAGCTCTGCTGCCAAGCCTCCGACAGCTGACTGAGCTGGCACCCCTACTCTCAACACAGATGGCAGGAGAACCCTGAGATACCAGGGGCGAGGCCCTCAGTGAGCATCAGCTGTGACAAATGAGAAGGGAAACCTGGGGAAGTATTGGCTTCTAGGGGCCCCGACACCCTGCAAGCTCCTCACAGGACTTGGCCCAGCCCTGGGACAAGAAAGTCTAAAAGAAGCACAGGGGCCAGGGAGGAAGGAAGGAGCTTGGAGAGAGGGCAACGAAGAGCTTGATGGTGGTACCCAGGTCCAAAGAGTCAATAACCCACCTGGGCAAGTGACGGTGCCAGGCATATGCTGGGGGAGGGGCTGAGGCCTGCGTGGGCACCTGGTGTATGTGAGGGTGGGAAGACAGTGGATTCTGAAGGGCCAGGTTCCCTTGACTTTGCTCCTCTAAAGGGCAGGGACTCTGATCTTCCAGGAAAAGTCCCTAGGGGACCTGCCTTTCCACAGCCTCCCCGGGGGAAAGCAGTGTGTGGCATAACCGGCTGGGGGCCTGGCTTTGCCTGATGTCAGCTCCCAGAGCAGCAAGGAGTCTGTGGCCACAAACACAGCTGTACTGGAACAGGGTTAGACAGACTGTGAAGGGTGAGGGGTGAGGGGTGCGTGGGAGGCTGCAGCCTGGCCCTCTGGTTTTAGGTGGGCATGGCCCTTGGGTTAGATTTGGACACAAAGATTTGTAGCAAAGGGGAGATGGCAGGCACAAGAGTGATGCCTGGAGAGGAGTGGCTCTCCAGGAGCTGGGTGGGGGTCTCACCTTGTGGGGCTGCACGGTGGCAGGAAAGAAGCCCCCAAGGCTAGAAAGAGGTTCCTTGGGCTGTCTCTTTGGCAGCAGTGGGATCTGGGGGATGGAATGGGGGCTCAGAACAACACAGTCCCCAGCGCCCCTGCAGCTCTGTCCCTCCGAAGGTGGTACCCCACGTGCCTGGGTCCCTCACCCTGCACTGCAGGTGGGAGGATGGCAGGTCCAGGGCTACGGTCATCCTCCCTCGGAGCTGCTCCAACTGCAGCTGTAGATCCAGACTGAGACCCAGGCAGTGGCTCAGTGAGGAGCGGGCCAAAAGCTGGAGTATAGGAGGAGTCACAGGGTGGCAGAGGGGCCATGGCGGCCCAGCAGGCATGTGGGAGGGTGGGAAGCCTTACCTGGGATGCCTTGCTGTGCACCCTACGGTGGGTGGGTGGGATCGGCACTGTGACTCGGGGAGGATGGGAGAAGTGCTGGTCCAGGGGCCCCAGGTCCTGTGGGGACAGGGCTGTTGGCACTGTTTGGCCTGCAGTGCTGACCTCACCCCGGGCAAGACAGTGGGCAGCTTGGGGTAGGGCACACACATCCCAGGTCTCTCTCTCTACTGTGAGGGTCCCGGTGCTCCACTGCTGGGACTCCCTTCCAAACTGCATGCCCTGGGAGGGTAGCAGGAGCAGACGGACCATCAGAGACCAGGTGGGAGCGGTGGGTGGAGAGGAGGGGCCAGGGTCAAGACTGGGTTGGGGGAGACCCCACACCTACCAGCAGGCCAGAGCCATAGATCAGACGGAGGTAATTGTCAAAGCCTTCCTGGCGCTGCTGCCAGGAGGGTGGGGGCCGGGCTGCTGGGACCACTAGCCCCAGCCTCAACTGCTGAAGGTCTCGGTCCCGGGCCACTAGGGCGTCCAAGTCCTGAGTCGGGGTTCAGGGATCAGCCTGCTCTTCCTTGAGCCTTGCTACGTGCTGCCCAGACAACCACAGGGATCCCAGGCCTGCCCCAGGGCTGAAGGCTGGGGCCTGAGCCTGGGCAGGGCGGGTTAAGGAGGACCCACCCCACCTCCTTCGGCACAAGGTGCTGAGATGCTGCCCTCCGACGATGGATGAGAGGCAAGGCCTTGCTGCAAACAGGGACAGGCACAGGTGGGATGCTGGGTGGCATGTCAGTGGGCTGGGGCAGAGGCTGGGACAAGGACCGACCCCAAATGGGTGTGCCAAGGCTCAGGCAGGCTTGCATCAACTCCAGAGGGCCCCACGCAGCCAGGCCCTCACCCAGGGTGGGAAAGGGGGGCCTCCAGGAGGGTTGAGCAGGCCCGCATGGGACCTGAGGCTGGCTGCCCGATGGAGGTTGCTGAGCCTCTGCAGTTGGGTGGAAGTCAGTGATTCCTGGCTCGTCAGTGGCAGCGGAGGGTCGTCCACCATGTCTGGGACCTTCCAGCACATCTTCTGAATAGGAGAAGGAACCTGTATGCCTGGCTGGGGGAACCCAGGTCTGCTCCCCCAAGGTGGGCAAGGTGAGGGGCCCACCTTGCTCACTCTGTCCTCACCACACACCTTAACTAGGTAGGATGTAGGCAGGTAGAGCCTATGGGACACCAGGCAGAGGCGGGATCCCAGTGCCAGCACCAGGTCTCCACTGTTGCTGCAGAAAGTCAGGGCCTGAGGGGCACCATTCAGCTGCAGGAGCCTGGAGGTGACCCAGGGCAACCGAGGCTCAGCAGGGACAAGGCCTGCTCCACCCAGTTCAGCCACTGGGCTCTGGTGCGAGGCAGAGGGAGGAGACCCCAGTCCTCCCCACCTCCCAACCTACCGCAGGAGGCGGTTCTCAGCGGTCCAAATGCGAATGGTGCAGTCCAGGCTGGAGCAGGCATACAGCTTGAGCGTGGGGCAGCAGCACAGGCCTGGGGGCAGGGTTCAGGGTCAGGAACCCAGCCGGGCGGGGGCTGGGCTTCACCCGTGTTGCCCCCTCACCGGTGATGTGGTCGGTGGGGTCGTCCTGGGGCCGGTGGTCTAATCGCGGACTGTCGCCCAGGCCAAACTGCACCAGGCCGTAGGTAGCGCTATCTGGGTCTTCAAAGCCCACGGTGACGCGTCTGCCTAACGCACAGAGCGCCACGGCCGGGTAGCAGCAGGAGAAGGTGCGCAGCAGGCTCAGGCTCTCCTCGGCGTAGGGGAAGACGCGCCACATCTTCACCGTTAGGTCCCCACCTGTGGGCAGCGGAGCCTGGCTGGGCCTTGTCGGAGGGGAGGGGGCTCTGTGGCAGCCTGACCGTTGGCACGGGAGCTACTGACCCGAAGACACGATGCTGTTCCAGGTGGATGCGATGGCGACGACTGGGCCCGGGCTGTGCGCCTCCGTTTGGAAGACGGTCTTCGACGACAGCCAATCCAGGACTGACAGCGTGCCGTCCATGTGCCCCACCACGGGCAGGTACCTGCGAGTGGGAAGAGCCTGTTGGCGGGGACCCTGCCGCTCCTTCTGCCCGCCAGACCCTCGCCGGCTCCGGCACCCACCGGTTCTTGTTCTTGCAGGCGCAGGCCACAGCGCTGCGGCGCAACTCGCCCTGGTGCTGGCGCACGACCTCCCAGGAGGAGAAGGCGCCTCCGAGATCCGTGAGGTGGCTGTACAGGTGCAGACAGCAAGGCTGCGGCGCAGGGGGCGGCGGCGGGCACACGCGGTGCAGCACGCTCATGGGGCAGCGCGCCGCGTTGGCGCGGACCAGGTGCCCGGCCTTGGTCAGCAGCCACAGCGCCTCGCGCGGAAGGCAGTAGGCCACGGCTGCCGCGCAGTCCTCCGGCTCCAGCAGCAGTGAGCTCACTATGCGCCCGGTGGCAGCTGACAGGAGGTAGACTGAGCCGTCGGTGCACGCGCACACGAGGCGAGTAGGCAGAGACGGGTGCGCAGGCGCGGGCAACGCAGGCGCCACCTGCACATGGAGCACCTTGGCGGGCAGTTGCGCCAACGGCGAGTAGAGCTCGCGTACGCTCCACAGTTGCATGCTGCTCGCGCACAGGGACAGCACCGGCCAGCCCGGGCGTGCTGGCGCCAGCAGACGGCCCACGCGCCGGGACAGCTTGTCCTGACCCCAGTAGCCCAGTGCTACCTCGCCCACCTGCGCCGCCGCCTGCAAGTCCCAGGTGCGTAGCGTCCCGTCCTGTGAGGCCGACACCACCAGGGTCGTGTTAGGCAGCACAGCCATAGCCGTCACCGGGCCTGTGGGAGGGGTGCAGGTCACTCGGCTGACTGAAGGCCGGGGAGCCTTCAACCTATGTTGCAGTCAGCGCAGCAAGGCCTGGCCAGAGCTGCAGAGATGCTGGACAGCCTAGAGTGGCTGGAGGCAAAAGGCCGAGGCTCGGGGTGCAGAGAATTCAGAGCACCTGTGTGGCCCACGAACACCATCCGGATCTGCCAGTTAGCCTCCCACACCTTCACGGTGCTGTCCCGGGAAGCTGTCACCATTGCCTCTACTTCCTCGCAGTAAGCCAGGTCCGAGATGGTGCTACAAGTGGGGAATGGGAGAAGCCCAAAGGACTTAACATCGCCTTGTGAGGGCCCTGTACCCCTACATGCCTGGCCCTCCTTAGGGGGATTCCCCCTCACGTTTTGTGCAGATCCCAGCGCACATCTACCAGAGTCCAGGCACGCAGATCGAAAGTGAGCACGGCCGAGCCATAGGCCGCGAAGCAGCGCAGGACGTGGTGGGGAGGAACCGGCCCCACAGCCAGACGCATGAGCCTGCCCGTTGGGCTCGGGGGCGGGTGCAGTGGTGACCCTCGCAGCACTAGGCGGCGACCACCTGAGCGGAACTGCCACAGCGCCAGGCTGCTGTCCATCTCCGCCACAAGCAGCAGCCTGAGGTCAGGCACCGGTAGGCAGCAGGTGGGCGCCCAACCCGGGGCCCTGCCCACCCGCGGCTCGCTCAGCCACAGCAGGCTGAGGTTGGGCCTCAGAATGGCCAGCCCCGCGGGGCCCCAGCCTACAAAACGGCCCACGGCACCCAGCGGGCCCAACACGGTCACCAGCCCCGTAAGCCCGACAGGCGCCAGCAGCGTCTCCTGTGCCCAGCCGTCTTCCTTGTGCAGGTGCAGGCGGCCCGCCCCGTCCAGCACCACGAAGCGTCCGCCCACCGGGTCCTGCGCCACTGAGCGCAGCCCAGCTGCCACCTCCAGGCGGCGCAGTGGCTCCAGCCCATGCGTCAGGCGCGCCACGCGCAGCTCGCCTCTCTTCTCCTGCGGGCCGGGGTGAGCGGACCCGCCGTCAAAGGTTGGGGCTGCTCCGGCCTAGGGAACCCCTAGGGGAAGGACCGGATCCCGAAAGAGGCCTGGAGGCACAGCGCACCTTTTCCACGACCTCGTGGAGGCTGGTGCGCAGAAGCAGCCACAGCCGGCGGGCGCGGGCGCGCGGGGTCAGGCTTTGCCACTGCTGGCTGCTGGTCAGAAAGGGCAGGACCTGCGACGGCTCCGTGAAAGTCAACTCTGCGGGCGGGAACTGGAAGTTCTGCCACCTACAGCCTCAGGTCCCCGACCCTGACGGTTTTGGGGAGCCCTCCTCCAGGGGCCCTGCCCTGCCAGGCACTGCCCAGGGAGTTTCGTTCCAGGGGATGGAACCCAAGCCCGAGTGAGACCCACTTCCTGGCGGATGCCTGTGGGACAAGGCCAGGACCCCTCACCATTCTTTTCGGTGAGCAGCCCAGGGTCTGGGACATCATAGACATCTGCATCATACAGGTCCGAGTCCAGAACTAGGTTGTAGCCTTCTGCCTCCCACGCTTCTGCCTCCATTTCTGCAACTGCGGTCCCAGAGCCCAACAGCTCCCAGGACTTAGCGGTCACGGCCGGCAGCGGCAGTTGCTAGGATACCAGATGCCGCTGGCCACTCCCACACCGCAGGCCCCGCCCCCACATCGCATCCAGGTCCACACTAAGTCACAGAAACTTTTATTTGAAAGAAATGAGCTGCAGCAAAGTGACACTCAGTGCACGCGGCCAAATGGGCGAGGTGGGGGTACAGGTGGGCACCAGGGGCCGGCCCAAGACCAGAGCTGGTGACCGCCGGGGCCTGTTTGCGGGGCCTCTGGCCACAGACCCTTTGGGCTGGAGTGTGCAGGCCCAGTAGAAATATAAAAATAAACTCTGTGGTCCAGCTCTCCCTGCTGTGGCAGTTCATTTGGGCAGGGCAGTCACTCTTCCCACCAGGGCCCCTGCTGCCAAGTCCGGCCACAGCACGGGCAGCAGGAGTCTGAGGGGTGAGTGGGCATCCACAGGATGGAGCCAAAGGGCTAGGCAGGTATGGCCTTGGGCAGTGCCAGGACTGTGGCAGCGCCAGGGTCTGGCCAGCAGCTGGGGAGGCCCCAGGGGCCTCTCAGGCGGGCAGGTCCAGGCATTGGTTGAAGCTGGATGAAGCTGGGGCCTCGGCTCCTCCTCATCAAATACAGATCACTGGGACCCTGGGCGGAGGTTGGCACACAGTGGGCCTTCAGGAGCCACCACTTAGACCAAGTAGAGGAGGCCCCCACCCTGTTGTACCCACTCCAGGTTTCAGGGACCCGGGTCATGGCCCCCATCACACACCTGTCCTCCTCCATGGTGTTGGTCTCCTCGGCCCCACCCTCACTGCCTCCGCGTCTGCTTTCTTCCTCTAACTCCTCCTCCCCCAGCTCCATGTCCAGCTCATTGCCTGCCTCTGAGGGCGTGTAGGTGGAGCCACTGAGGGGAGGCAGGAAAACCAGTTTTAGGACCCCCTACCCAGGCCTGCTGCTGGCCTCAGGAAGGATGTTCAGGGAGGACAAAGCTGGGTGGAGATGGCACAGCTGGGGAAGTTGTATCGGCCCAACAGGGAGGTGGGGGAGGAGGCAGATGGTGCCCACCTGATGGAACGGCAGCTGAAGAAAACAATTCGCTTGAGCCGCTTATTGTAGAAGAAGTAGTTGAAGGACCAGAGGCTACCATCCTCCCCGAAGGGGTCTGAGTCCAAGTCTGGGTTATAGCTGGGGAGTATAGGGTGACAGGTGGTGTGAGGGATGGGGGCCCACCTGCAGGGATGCTGGCTCACCTGCAGGGATGGGGGCCCACCTGCAGGGATGCCGGCCCACCTGTAGATGTCACATTCAGCCAGGCAGATCTCCTCATCCACCGCGTTCCACAGCTGTGGTTTCAGGGCCTTGAAGTCCTCCCGCACAGCTGAGAACAGACTGCAGTTGACTGCATTCACCACCTAGAGCAGGTCACAATCAGGCTGACAGGAGCCCAGGGCTACCGAAAGTGGGGAAGAACAGTGGGGTGGCTGTGGGTCCCTTCCCTCCACCTGACCCTCACCCAGCTAAGGCTGGGCTCCCGGCTGAACTCATGGCTGCGGGCTGTGCTGAAGTCATAGTCAGGCCTGAAGGACTCATTGAGCGTGGCAATCAGGTAGAAGAGGGTCTTGCGGCTGCACTTGTCACTGAGGGGGCCCTCGTCCTCGCCGCCTTGGCTTTTGCTGAGTCTGCACAGAGAGAAGCATCAACTGGGCCCATCACCTCCCCTCAACCCCCAGCCCCAGGCAGCCCCCACTATGGCTCACCTACTGGGGCTGAGGCCTGAAGTCTGGGGTGGAGAGAGTGCCTCCAGCACGTGGGGCTGGCCCTCCTGGCAGAACTGCTTGAACATGTGTTTGTCATCTCCTGCCATCTTACATGAGTAGCTCTCAATCCTATAGGATGCAGAGAGGACCATGAAGCATGCTTCCCCCAGGTTCCATTGAAGGGCGGGGCAGTGTGACCTCCGAGATGCCAGCCCCGCGCGCCCCCCCGCCCTGCCTCACCTGCCGATGATGTGGGCGTCTCCAGTCTCCACAGTCAGCTGTGAGTTGATGGCTTCAAAGCTCGAGTTCTCCAACAGCTTCATGTCCTTGAGAAGGGGGCTTCCTGCTCCAGAGAAGCTAGTGTTGCCTGGGGAGTGACAGGCCAGACCATGGGTATCTATCTGGCCCCTTGGGGCCCTGCCTTCAGCCCTCCTACCCACTAAGTGGAGCCGCTGGGAACAAGCTGAGTCTGGCCTCTGTCCAGGCTGCACATCAGGAACTCCCCTCTCTGCCCCGCCAGGAGAGGTGACGAGATCTTGTTTTACCTGAGGGTGGCAAGTCCAGGCTCCAGGTCAGCCACACCCCCTGCAGAACACGCGAGTTCTGGGACTAGGCTAGGACCACCGGGGACCCTGCTCACCCTGGGGCTGCTGGTTGAGTTTGTCGCTCAGCATTGCCATTGCCATTCCCCA